GTTATAAGCATTGGAACAAACTTCTCAAGGCAGTGGTGGGGTCATTGTCCCTGGAAGTGTTCAAAAAGCACCTGAGGACATGGTTTAGTGGTGAATGGAGTGGTGGTTCACAGTTGATTCTGATGATCTTAAAGGATTTTTCCAACCTTACCAACTCTGTCATGCTATGATTCTACTGCTCTGAAGTTGAATCGTTCAGACCTTTTCTATTTTCCCTCCCTTCCAACTCCTCTTGCCCTCTCCTCTTGAGGAACGTGAATGAAAACCAAAATTCCTGTCACACTGGGAGAGTGCAGCTGGTGACTTGGGCTGGCAGGGAGGAGGTGCTGGGGAAGGAGCTGACAGAAAATTCCCACAGAATTTCCCCCTGCCCCTCACCATCCCTGTGCTGGCACTGCCAAGCAGTGTCCCAGTCCCCAGTCCCCAGTTTGCTCAGACCCAGAACTCCCTCCTTACTCTTGGTGTCTGTGGATGACTCTGCTGCCCCCAAGCAATGGGAGAGAGGGTCAGAGGGCAGGAATGCTCAGAAAGATAGAAATGAAGCAGGAATTTCAATTCAAAGCTAATGGATGGGGTTCGGAGGCTGCTATTAGCAGAAATTATCACTGTGTTAATGTACTCCGGGCAGCATTTTTTACAGTTGAATATGGTGTTATTTTCCTAGTTATCCATTCCCTGACAAGTGGATATAATCAAAGCTGTCTGTGAGCACTATTATCAGAAACTTACTATTATGTGCTGGAGGAAAAAATATCACAGGACGTTGCAGTGCCAGAAAACTACTGTAGGTTTTAAAGATCTACTGCAACACCAAGTATTTATTTATGTACTGCTTTTATCTCCTGTGGAAGAAAATAATTTTAACTTAATTTTCTTGTCTCCCCCAACTACTTTAGAAAATGCACCTCCCAAAATAAGTCCATAATTATGATTAACAACACGGGCTGGATCCTCAGTTGCTGTAAATTAGCATTCCCCCATTCCTTGCAGTGGAGCAAAGCCAATTCCTTGCAACAGAGAAAGCTTCCCATGCCCTTGGCATGCTGCTTTACATCTTTAAGGGTATCAACAAACCTCCTTTAATGTAGCATTGTACAGAATTTGCTCTGGCCAGAACAAACTTTATTTTTTCTTTTTAAAGGGTAAATCTGGCATCATGGTCCTAAAAGTCTTGAAAATTATCTTGTAAATAAAATGAATCCTTTCAATATATTCTGTTGATGAATTAAATCAATGAAACTGCTACTGCTCTGTCATGTGACCTGGCTTCAGAGAACTTTATTTTCTTCTTAATTTTCAGGTTGGCCATATACTTAATAATATTACTGTAATTCTGGCACAGCTCTGAGAAGGAAGGAGCTCCAGTGAGACAGCACAGAAAGGAAGCAATTAACAACAAATGTTTATAACTATATCGTTGACTACAAAACATGAAGGAAAAAATCCCCTACCATAGGGATTTTGGGGTTTAAGGATATGAATAGGCAATGAAAATTTCTGCACTTTTCATTTAATAAATCCTCAATAATGATCAGATTAATTTGAGCATCTGACTAATCATTTCTGAAAACATTCTCTGTTTCAGGCTCTGCCATGCTTGGTGCTGATGAAAATGATGGTCCAAGGCTAAGATTAGTAAAGAAAAATCCAGAATTCCTGAGGATACACTGGTAGATACTTCACATCTGAAACAGGTACTATCCCTGCAACTCGTTCTTCCCAGATCTCCCCTCCTCAGCTTCCCCTCTTTTTCATCTTACACCTGGGAATTGAACAAACAGAGTCCAAAAAGGGTTTTGGAACAATCCTAAATCAGGGATACTGTGAAGACAAATGGTAAATGTCTGTTACCCCAGCTGCTAACTTAATTACTGTAATGGGAAACATCTTGACAGAAGCATTGCATATGGTTATTAGCAATTAACCCACCACTCCAAAAATCACAATTCTGCTAATAACAGAACAGAGCTCAGCCTTCCTAATTACAATCTCTGCACGAAAATTTCTTTATATCAGAAGGGACTGTTAAATCCTGTAACTAGCTACAATTTAAAAAGACTGGCAATGGAGATACCAAGAATTAGACAAATGAAAATAGAACAGGATGGTGTGACACTGACTCAAAGTTTTGGGCAACACTCGTTCATGCTTGGGGATACACAACAACTGTCACAGCCTGTTTGTAGGAAATTACACATCAAAATTAAAATGCTAATGAGGGGGGAAATATGTTTTAAAGTGGAGAGGATGGGATGGAACATTGTGAGAGATAGCAAATCTTTTACAGAATTCATGATCTGGACAGTGTTGTAAATAATGTGCTGAATTTGGATTGCACTGGAATCTGACAGAACAATTTTCTGATCAACAAGAGAGGAGAATAATGCAATTTCCATGCCTTAGAAAGTCCTTCAGAACTATATGGAGGGCATGAGCTGGCTTTTTTCCCTAACCACTTGTACTCTAGGCAATTGCATCCCATTATAACTGCACAAAGCCACCAAGGGGAATTGGCACTTTACCTGCTCTGTTCAAAAGCTGGTTTAGCTGAGCAAGATGCAATTTAATTTATTCCTTTTCCCAGTCAGGAAGGAAGCTTTGGTCAATGTGTCCAGTGACTGCTTTGGTAGTGGTCAGGGTGTTGTTTGTAGGTGCTGAGGTCAAGGATGCAGAACTTATAGCAAATGAATTTCAGGACAGCAGGAACGTGCCTGGTTGGTCATAGCAAGGATGTGGAATATAAAGAACTCCCTTATGCTGTTTCCAGTGCCTTTTCTACCAGAGCCCAGTGTAAGAACTGGAATAGATGAGTCAGCTTCTACCTCTGTGTCAGGTCTGCAGGTTTAACTGGCTTGGGATCCCAGCAGATCAATTATCTCAGGAGGCTTTGAAACTCCTTCCACCAATGCTGCAACTCTACCCATGGGAATCATCCCATTAAAATCAACAGCTCTGCAGGATATTCTCAATTAAAACACAGCCGAGGAGAAAACATTAGATAATATTTGTAAGAAGAACACATTACACTGACTGGGTTGGTTTTGGAGCTCAGGGCAATGTCAAGGACACAGCAGCTAAAGCCTCCTGCCTGGAAAGCAGGGATTTTTTACTCCAAAGTTTGGCTGCAGATGCATTTTGCTGTGTGGCCCCCAGGCAAAGGTCTCATCTATTAAGTGGCCTTCACTCTGCATTTCTGTGCCTCCCAGTCTGCATATTGCTGGTCCATTACTCTTAACAACTGGGTATAATAAACGTTGTGTATGGTTTATAATGATCACATGCAGCTTTGAAGAACAACGTTGGATAGTTTAAGTTCCTTAAGATGGAAAAAATTAAAGTATTTTTAAAGACTAATTTACCTCTCCTGAGGTAACAACTGAGGAATGAGATCTTTTGCTATTTTGCCATGATGTGATCCTGAAAATAATCCAGGCTGGGATGACATCACAGGACATAATGAACACTCAGCCTTGACATAATGAACGTCTATTATTTTATGAAGAAAAATTTTCTGGGGTTTAAGAAATAAAATGATTAAAAAGTATGTGCTCTGTGGGAGGTAATGAGATTAGCTCAACACAAGGTCCTGTAGAGTTAAAACTACTCCAGACACAAGAAAGACTCAGCCATTCATTGGAAATTTCAGGGCACAATTATTCTGCTCTAAGGCCAGATAAGGGCTGTGTGTTTTCTTCCCCATGAAAAAGAAATCAGTTGATAAAATCTCAAAGGGATCATGTCCATTCAAGCTTCAAAGCAATGAACAATATAAAACCAGTTTTCTTGTTATGAATGGTAAATGTTTACCTACTTCAGCAAAGGCCTTGGAAAATAAAAACCATACAGGAAACCACTTGTAAAGCGTGTGTAAAATGAGAAGCGGGTGTATCGTGTTACAGGGCTGAAAGGGAGATAAATTATTGCTCTGTGAAACAGAGGCTGACTCCTGACTGGTGGGGATGCTGGTACACCCATCCAGTTGTGTCTGTCACAAATTGGTGCAGGAGAATACTTCAGAGCAAGTGGAGACCAAGCCCATGCCATTGGAGTGGAAAGGAATCGCTGCTTTTAGCACTGGCTGGCTCAGGGCCCATCTGCTGTTCACAGCCCAGTGCCTGGTTAGTCACAGCTCTCTGGAGAGAGGGAAACCGTGCTGTAATGGACACGGAGACCTGCATTAGATCATAAAACGCTTAAGGTGTGTTTCTCTCATTTTTTTATTTGCTACTATGCACCGTTCCCTTTCCAGGTCAGTTGGTCTCCCTTCTCTCAGCAGCAAAGGGGAAGGAGTTGTGTTTTGACAGCAGTAAAGGTCTGGAGAGATCATAAAGGTGAGAGGATGGTCTAGAGGACGGCAGGCAGATCTGGGATTTAAAAACCGCTCCTCAGTTCCCAGTTTTATGCTCTTGCTGTCACTAACTCTCAGCAATAGCGGTGTTATCCCTCCCTCAAGATGTTAAACGCGTTTATTTCACAGTTACCTCTCGGAAGTGCTCAGATATGATTGCAGTGGGCATCCTGCACAGAACAAAGAAGGACCAGAGGAAATAAAGAGCAGCCAAGATACGTCTCTGTCAGCGCAGCAGAACGCGCTTGGCATCCCGGCAGCGAAGGCAGAGCAGGGCTGGGGCTGGAGGATGCACATCCCTGCGCACGGACACTGCAAACACCCGCCCGCCCGCCTATCTCCTCCGCTCATCTCCTCCTGGAGCTGCTCCCAGCGGGGATGCGAGCAGGAGGAGCTCCCTCAGCAGCGGGAACACAGCGCTGTTCCCGAGGGGAGCTCCCGGGACCCGGCAGCGCTCTGCGCTCCCCGCTGCGGGCGGGGCGGGCGCGGCTCTGCCCGGCGGGGCGGGGATGGGGCCGGGCCGGGGATGGGGCCGGGCAGCGCGGCTGTGCCGCCGCTTTAAATGATTTGGGGGCTGCAGCTGCTGCTGCTGGTGATGTTGCTGCTGCTGCTGCTTCAGCCGGCTCTCCATCCTCCATCCCCCGGCAGCGCCATGCGAGCCGGCCCGGCGCTGCTCTCCGTGCTGCTGGGCTGCGCTCTGGCCGCGGAGCCGCGGCTGCAGCGGGGCATGTGAGTGTGCGGGGCTGGACGGGGACAGCACGGCCGGGACACACCGCCTGTGGCCCTGCAGGGAGGGTCCTGCCCCCCTCGGGCTCCCGGGGCGGCGGGGAAAGTTTGGGTGGGTGCGCCGTAACTCCGCGCGTCCCGCAGCGCTGTCCTGGATGGAGCTCCCGGCGGGCACGGAGCGCTCGGCTTGGCTTTGCCGCGGGAGGGGAAGGCACCTCTGGGGCTGCTGTGCCCTCGCCTTCAACCACAGGAGCATGGGGAGCTGAGTTTGAGCGGGACAAAGATCGGGGCAGCAGCTGGGAATCCATGGGAAGGGCAGGGCAGGGAGCGCGGAGCATCCTCCGGCCGGGAGCGCGCACAAAGAGCGGGGCCGCACGTGTGCGGCTGCTGCGCTGCCGGGCAACTTTCTCCGAGGGGTTCTGCACGAGCAACAAATGCCTTTTGTTGGAAACGCGCTGGAATGCTTGCGTCCGGAGGTAGTTTTCTGGTCGTGTTCTAAGAGAGAGTAGCTGGCCGCATGCATAAAATCTGTGGTTAAAGTTTTCGCGTGTTGAAATGGAATGTTGCTGGAAACTGTTTCCTGCCTTGTGTACCTTTCTCGTCTTGTGTTTTAAGGAATGTTGTGCCCCCCTGCTCCCTCCTCTCAAAGCAACCTGACAATAGCCTTTTCAAATGTCTGTGTGTACCCTAATTTCTAACCTCTTTTATCTTCATCAACTTCATCCCACTCTTTCATAATTAATGTCTTGTATTTGCTTTCAGTTTAGTTTTTCTTCTGTCTGAAAATTGAGATTTCCAAGCCTATTGCTCCCTGGCTTTCTATGCAATACATATTTACACGGTATTTACCAGAAGTGCTTTTAAGGTGGTTTATATTACTCCATTTTGCTGGAGCACGAAGTATCCATCACAGTGCTTAGAGAAGTTAAGCTCATTCTGTGGTAAACATTTTCCTTTGTTAAAAGTGCTCTGTGTTTCTCTCAGGCACGCTTTGTGCTTTCTTTCTGAGCAATTACTCTATCAGGAGGAGGAATAGCATTGGCCTACATTAATCTGTCTGCATTTGACATCAGTAATAACTATGATTCTGCACTTCTGAAGCTGGAGGTGCTGTTAACTGTGAATTGCCTCCAAACAGTTTTTGGTTGCTTTTACCTTTTTAAAGATTGTGTCACTGAATGACTCGAGGAAACATTCCCTTCTGGAAATGATGCTGTGTGAGGATGTTGCTGCTGGGCTGGAGTCCCTGGGAGCAGCAGTGCACTGTCAGCCAGCAGCAATCAGGAACAGCCACCCAAACCCCCAGAGCTGGGTCAGAGCCTTGAGTGCTTTTCCCAAGAGTCATATTCCTCAAATTACTGCCATTCTTCCTGCTTTTCCTGAGCTGGGGAAAGTAGAAGTATTACTCCAAACTTTCTTGCTATTTAGGGACTTTACCTTTGATGTTAAGCAGAAATGCAAGATGTCACCACCTTTTAGGAGTGAGTCTGCCAGCTTTCACCAAGAAACAGTGAAGTGTCCAGGAGAATTCTTTTCATAAATCACATTTTTCTAACAATTCTGGTTTGTTCTTTTGACGTTGGTCATCTGCAGTCAATGAAATCAGAACAGCAAATGTATCCCTTGGATCACACCATGCTGAGTGTGTTCTTTGCTGTTGTTTTGATTGAGATCTTATGTGGCTGAGGTTATACAGGATATTCTTCATAATTGTTTTCATTCCGTTGCTAACTTGAGCATTTTCTCCTAGCTAGAAATGTGAGGGATCTCTGTGGATGTTGGTGTTCTGCTTCCAAGCCCCCTGAGGAGATTTAATGTAGAACAGATTACAGAATGATGAGATACTTCTATCAACTGCTTTTCCATACAATTAGCCCTTGATGATCTCCTTGATGATGATAGAACTTCAGAGAGCTCTGGAATGACCAGAGAACAGATATGTCATTTTCATTGTAAAGCATATTTGGGCCTCTAAATGTGGGTTTAACCATGTCTCATGATAAAAGGCACATTTTTAACACTTTGTAGTGAGCTCCCTAGCCCAGAACTGGGGTGTGTAAGAAATGCAGGTGTGATGTGTGGTTATCTAGCATTGGGCTTCACAGAAATCTGGGGGTAGTCATGGGACAGTGCAGAAAAGGGAACTAAGAGAAGAGGATTTGATTTGCTGTCAGAAGTGGTAAATCCTCTCCTAGAGAAACATTCCCCTGGGAGTTTGAGCAGTGCAGATGTCTGCTCGTAGTCAGTGATGCAGGACAGAGCAGAGGCAGGAGTGGTTATGAGGTATGTGCTGGGAACCCCCTTTGTGCAATAAATATCACCTTTCAGAGTCAGGACTGGGACAGGGCTCAAGAATGGATTCTTCTGTTCCCAGGTGAGACGAGTGAGGACTTCTTTGAAAGAGCCAGGAGATAATTTTTGTTCCTGTCAGCATTAAGCCCCTTGACTTACTCCGTGGGTTTGCAGGTCCAGGATGACCTCTAAAGGGGCTGGTTTGCTTTTAGAGGATCCAGTCTCAGTCTTGCAATAAAACTCTTTTGCTTAGGGTTTTTCTTTACTGCTCACATGTTGTATCTGCATATTTTCACTTTTTATCCATAAGCAATCTGGCCTCATTCCAAGGAACACCTGGATGTAGAGCTGGATTCCTGGCTCAGTAACTGTTTTCCAGCTTCTTCAATTCTATGGGGCACTATCAGCTTTCTTGGGCTCCTCCTGATAAATCACATTCCCAAAAGTGAAATCTAGCATCCACATGTCGTCTGCATTTGCAAACCTGGAGTAAACTTGGCCCTTCAGCTGTACCAGCTGTTGGTGCAATGACACAGGGCTGGTTTTGCACCACTGCAAACAGATGTGGCAGCAAATGCCATTTTCAAGTGGCATAAATAAAAACTCTTTTTAAGGTATAATTAAAAAAGGCAAAGTCCACTTTTTTTTTTTAATGGAATGCATTTCAAGAATTAACTGCTGTTGTGCAAAGCATTTCCATATGAGGAGATGCCTCCGAGTTGTGATTGTTACAGTGGAATAAATTGCATGTCAATTTGAATATTTGGAATGCAATGCAGAAAACAAAATGAGAAATGCTTTTAGAAAGTATATGGAGATACAACTTAAACTTGGAGCCTGGAAGTTTGTTATAATACTGTCCAAATGATGTGAAAAGTAGATTGTGTAATCATTTCTTGGTGAGAAATTGTCTCAATGTATTGGCTGTTTAGCCAATATACTTTATTTTCACCTCCAGTGATGTCAATTTGCAGGTGTGAGGACAACTTGTCTTCCTAGCATTAAATAAGGGCTTAAAGTACATTTACTTTTTTGAGCTGAACTGAATAATGTAGTGGAATCTCTTTCCATTTCTTTGGATGTGTTATCTTATGCTTGGAGGTTTTCTAGTTAAAAAAATTTGCAGGTTTTTCTGGTGAAAATAAGGTCTTGGTTGGCTAGTGGTGCATTTAAATTTGTACCATAGCTTAATTTTGTATTAAATTTGTACATCAAGTGAGATTAAGTATTTCTCTTTAAACCTTGGTTGAAGTGATGCTGGCAACTGAGAGAGTCATTGACAAATTTTGATTTAGGCTGCTGAATTTTACCTACCTTGCTTTCAGCTGAGACCTCAAGCCCTTCTTCCCATTCCTGCCTGCTCAGAATCCATAGGGTTGCAGTAAACCCCCACAACTGAACTGCAGCTACTCCAGCCTTTGAGGCTTGGATAATGTGATTTTAGTAAGCATGGTTTAAGTTTATGGTGGTTTCATCCCCTCATTTCCCCATCCCTGTCCCCCCAATCCTTTAATTTGCAGTTGAAGGCTGAGATGTTTCTCATCTTTGTGAATGTGAACATCACACTCACAAAAATAGTCTTTTTTTTGCCTTGTGCACTACAGGATGTTGCCACCAGATAGAGCTCATGCTGGTCAGCACTACAGCACAGAATCCCATTTCTCAAGGCTTTGCACTAAAAGCTTCTGTTTCACAGTTCCTAGAGGAATATTAATTTTGAATTTAGTCTTTTAACAGATGGCAAAGCGCTCTTTTCCTCTTTTTCTGCCCCAGTATATTCACTGTCAGGAGACTTAAAGATAATGAATGAGTGTCATGGTGGTACTGTACTTTTCCTGATTTATGACATTTTCCTGCTCTTCAGGAGAAAAATGAGATCAAGACTTTCTCCTAAACCCTGAAATAGCTGTAAGACAGGATAATAAAATCTGATAGGCTGAAATTGTTGTATTTATCAAAGATGAACTGTAAATATTTTCCAGTTTTAGAAATTCCTGGGTTTCTATAAGACACATCATAAAATGGTTCAAAATCTCACAAGAGGTTTAGAAATTTCCTGCTCATAACCACAGTAGCTTACACATACTGTATTATTCTTAAATCTGGGAAGAAAGTGGGATCCCACTTTTAATGGGATTTGACTTCTCCCATTAAATCTCCAAAAATACACTCTAAGAGGAAAAAACTTGTCAGGCTTCCGTTTCTTTAGGTGTAATTGTTTTGGAATGTTGCTATAATTTAGTTATTGATGCAATAGTTTAATGTGCTTGAAATGTGTTTTTGCAGTATTTCTTGGGAAAATTGCCTGGGTTTTGCTTCCACTTTTCTTCTGCATTGTTTATATCCAGCACTGCCTGTTTTTCCTAGTTCTAGGCATGCCATGATCTAGGTATGACACACTGTGGAATATTTTTAATAAATTTGAAGAAACTTCCTGGTGAGGAGGGATGAGATGATCTGAGGTGACAGACCTGGTCTGGAGCTGACTTTTTAGCAGAACTTTGATGGAAGTGATGCTTTGGCTCCCAGAGAGTTAACAGCCCATATTGCAGATTTGTGTTATTCACCAATTAAATACCTTCTCTCTTTGAACACAGTTAATAGATTTCCTTCCTCTGAAATTCAAGCCTGTTATTGCTTACGTTCCCTCTCAAATCTATTGCTTTTAATTTATTTCTGAGGAGAAAGAAATTTCCTTTCATTACTGCGAA